ATGTGGGAGAGGAACATAAAAAGAGAAGTGGGATTCTGTTTCAAACTATGAAGCTTTTATCTTATTTGGGGGAAAATGTCCTCCATCTCTTATTTGATCTGTTGGCCTGGCTCTGTGAGTGGCTTTAGGTAATTTATTTCTACATGAACATTTGAACGCTTGGTTGCTCTTAGCCAGACCTGGGGTTGAGTCCTCTGTTATAGCCACAAGTCAGGTATGGTTCCAGATCTCTGCAGTCCACCTGAAGAGACTAGGAAAATCTGTGGTGGGTGCATGCATGTGGGGCTGGGGTTAGCTCTTTGATAAACAGCGGGTATTTGGAAGTATTTTTAATGAAGCCCAAGAGCATAGCTGGCTGTACCAACCTATAATGAAGGTATACTCTGATCCTTTGACACTTTGTTCCCAAAATATGCTCTCAGATATGAGGGAGACAGATTTTGACCATGTAGACGTATTTTATTTTTTCCTTCAAATTTTGAGCTTTTGGAAAATTTAAGGGTGTTGGCCAAGGCAGTCCCTGCTAGACAAAGGATGGGTAAGGAGACCTGGCTTGGTGTCAACATGAAGCTTTGGCCAGTGACAGTAATACCACACCAGTTTGCCTGGCCATTTGTTTGCCCTTATTCTAGACGTAATTTTTTGTTCAAATCCTTCTGTGGCAAGAGAGCAAAGAAAGCATAACATGAAAGAGCGTGTCTTGAATTGTACTTCACAGAAATGTCTCTGCTGGGGAAAAACTTGGTGTTGGGGAAACTCAACTGTTCTCCAGCCACTTCCCTTCCCCACACTGTTTGGTGGAGATGGATAATTGAAGGATAATCTTGAAATGTCTCCTTTTTTTGATAAGCACTTTTTAAATTTCCTATTTAAACCCAATGAGACTGTAAATTGTTCCCAAGTGAGACTATGGAGACACAGAGTTAAATAACATGACCAATTTCTCACAGCTAGTCAAAGTGGAGCCCAAATGCACACCCAGGAAGTTTGACCCCAGAGCTTTCACTCTTAGTCAAGCTGCCTTCTCCGGGAAGGTCCCAGGCATGGCATCGCCTGCTGGGAGCCAGAGCTTCTTCATGGGTTTTATTTCCCTGGTCCTTAGGTTAGAGATGGCACTTCTTCATTGATAATTTGTACTGGTATTCTAAAAGTAGCTCTGAATAAAGAAAGTATCAGACCTACAGCTTCCTGGTTCTAAGTATACCTGACAGCTGTTAGGATAAGATGGTTACAGATGGTTGTGCTTACTGATGGGCTCACAAGAGTTGATGGCTGTTTTTTTCCTGACCTCTGGCACTGTTCTGAGGCTGTGACGTGTATATATGTTCTGGCCCTTTGTCGGGTAGCAAAGAAATTATCAGAGCTGTTCCATTAACAGAGTGGAAGATTATATCTATGTTATACTTGCTATTTCTTGAATAGCAAACATACTATTTAAAAATTTGTGTATGATACACAGAGAAAGCTAGCAACATATTCAATGTCATTTTTTCAAATGATTAATGTTTCATCTCTACCCCTTTTTATATTAAATTTGGGTTTCAAGGCAGGCTTGGATTCTTTGGCCTTTGTCTCTCAGAGCTCTGCTGGGAATCCTTTTCATTGCAGAGACTAGCACTTAATCTTTGTACTCAGCACTTTGAAGTTCGTCTTTGTATTTGAGTCTGTGCCTTTTTGGGGTGATTGATGTATCATTGTAAAGAATTCCTTTTTTTTGTGATTTTAAAGAAAATAGCTTAAAAAAGAAGCCCTATTTTGAGTATCAATACAATCTGAGTCAAAATTTGTTGTCTTACTGTGAGCTAATGCAATTTAACTATTCTTTGACATTGTATGAATATTCATGAGGACTGTCCTGAGCTTTCATTATTTCAGGCTTTCTCTTGCTAACTTACTTTTCTGTAAGCTAAATAAATGTACTCAATCAATATTTGAGAGCTCTGTGTTGTGCACTGTGCTAGGCACTTTGAATAAAGTATTTTTATGTGCTTGTCAGGTGGTAGACCCTGTCATAATTCACTTGGGATATGGCAGTAAACAAAACCACAGAAATCCTTTTGGATTCTGGTGGGGGAGAGACATAAGTGAATGTGTGCAGTAGGTGGTTGTAAATACAAAAGCAAAGCTGGGATGAGGAATGGAGTGTCAGACAGGCTGGCTGCAATTTTAGGTACGGGGCCCAGCATGGCCTCACTAGGAAGCCTGTGTGGGTAGCATGGTGAATGAGATGGGCCCTGCCCTCACATAGCTTACAGTCTAGTGATACCATCCTGATGGGTGCTTGCCATGAGGCTAGGCACTCTGCCAAGTACTTGTGTACATTTCCACCTAATCTCCTGAGCTAGGGGACCTTATTACCAGTTTCTCCAGGAGGAAACTGAAAATTTGAGAGTCCAGTAAATTGCCAATGTGAACATCGCTGTAGGACCCAGATCTGACACAAAGCCCATGCTCTTCAACATGGTGTTTTGCTAAGTCAGCTCTTGAAATATTTGTTGTGGAGGAATTAGCCAACTTTGAAGATAGAACTGCCTTAATTTTGGTTCTGATGGATTGGGTAGTAACTTGGCTGGCTCAAGGGGAGTCTTGTGTTACCATAAGCTTCTCCTCCTGTTTCTATTTTGCTGTTTCTATTTCCAAGGCCTTGGGGTTGTGCCCTGGCCACAGCAGGCAAAGGAGCCACCTGGTGACTAACTTCCATGCAGTTGGATGTGTTTGTTGTGTGTCAGAGAGTGGCCTTTAATGACTCCAGCAAATCATTGACTACTTGAATTCCTGGCACTGTGTTTCAGTGATAGGACACTAATTTGGCTGGCTTATGTATCATTATGTTCAAGAGCATGTTATAAATGCTCGTATTTAGAAGGGAATGTAAAGTGAGTGAGAGGTTATAGTGCCAAGGTCACTGATTATTGTGTTTATTACAGAATAGGCCATACCTTGTATTTAAAGTGATTACTTAATCGTAATAAAAAGTAAATAGTAAATGAGTGTGTTGGAAGAGAGACCTTTATCGAGGGCTGTGGAAAGGAAGCCTGGGGTTCGAGAGGGCTCCACTGTGCCTTCTGCCTTCAGTGTGCTTGTGATAACATTCACCGCAGAGCACGCCACTTTTCATAGGGTGGTGATTTTTCAGCCTCGTGTCTCGTTTGCATTGAGTATTGCTGATTCTTTTGTGCTTTGGCTAATTTAATATCTGAGATGTGTAGGTTGGTCATTAATCGAAAAAGAAGCTTTATGTTTTACAACTCTATGTGCTACTTTTCATTGTTAGTTTCTAATGATTTTTTCCCCTCCTCATTGACTACTTCTAAAATTAAACGTTGTTAATTTTTACAAGATGATTTTCTTTTTTAATCAAGAGATTAGCTATGACTTGAGCTCTTGGGCTGCGAAATTCTATTGATTTACTTTCTTGGAATCTAATGTACATATAGGTGTACAGTTCAAACATTTTAGAGAGGGAACACACTTGGATAGTCAGCTTCCAGGTGAAAATACAGGAAATTATCAGTGCCCTAGAAACCTCCACATTCTTTCAATCTCTTTTACCATCCTATCCTACACGGGTAACCACTATCCTGACTTCTAACACGTGTCTTTGTTTTACCTGGTTTTGTATTTGTACTTTTATGAATGAACCCTAACAACCTGTACTCTTTGTGTCTGGATGCTTCTGTTTACCATTTGTGAGCTTGAACCACGTGGGGCAGTGGCAGGTTGTTTGCTCTCATCGCCATATAATATTTCCTTATGTGGCTATCCCATAATCTACCCATTCTACGGTTAAAGAAATATGTGTAGCATCCAGCACATTCTATTATGAATGGTGCTTCTATAAATGTTCTCACATAGGACTTTTGGTGAATACATGTAAGCACCTCTGTTGAATGCCTAGGAATGGAATTACTGGGCTATTCAATGTGCGTACATTCAGCGAGGATAGATACTACCAAATGGCCTAAGAGTTAAGGTAGCTGTGCCAATTTCCATTTCTGCAGTAGCGTGAGAGCTCGTGAATTTTATTTTTGATATGCTGTTTTGGGGATAGATGGGGGGTATATGTTGTTCTAAAGTTCATTTCAGTTCATGTTTGTTTTATGGAAAGAAATGGTCATAGCCGTCTCATTGAGCCTTTGAAAGCTAAATTTAATATTTGTGTGCTCATTCTTTCTGTCTATGTCTTATATGTATTTTATATATGTCTTACATATAGTGTGTGTGTATTTTACCTTACAGATATACTACTTGTAGACTCTTAGATTGAAAAGCCCCTTTAGAGGTCCTCTAGCTCCAGCTTTCATAGTCTCTCTGAATTCGCATCCTGCTTTAAATGTCTCTAATGAAGGAAAGCACATTATTTTAGGGCAACCCATCCCTTTGTTCATTAACTCAGGTTGTTGCTTCTTCAACATTGTGATGACACCTGCCAATTCTTAACTTCTTCCATGAATATCATGTCTTTTTGTAGGTGTGTGTGGGGGGAACGTGATTCTTGTAATAGAGCAAAATCTCTTCAGACAAGGATTCATGGCTATTTTTTAAACTGTACTTCTCATCATCGGTGGGTCTTAGACTCTGATGAGCATTTTGCTCCGGGGAACTTGGGTGAAAAAAACTCCTAGGCAATGGAAAAGAGAACTCAGTGCAAAACTGCTTTTTATCCTGTCCTGTTTCCTGATTTTTTTCTGCCATGAGCACACTTTTTCCTCCTTTTGATTGGGTTTAAACATTATTTAAAATAATTACAAAAATGTAATTAATGCATTTAAAAAATGAGACTAATGAATAATGAGAAAAATGCAACCTTTTCATGGAAAACTGACCATTATATTTAATGAAATCAATGAATATGGAAAAATTCTACTGGGTGATATGCAGTGTAATATCAGGTGGTATTAATATTCATAGAACTTTAGAACAAAAATGAGTTTCTAATTAATAATTAATAATTTAAGCTTCATAGATATTAATAGGTGTTTCCTCTTTTTTCTTTACAGGCAAGAAGAGACTGATAGAAGAGTGAAAAATGTAAGATATGTTTAATGGAATATTAAGGTTTTTTTTGCTTTCTCTGTAATGAGGCAGTGGGATCTAAAAATATCTGATGTATTATCTGTCCCTTTTTTATATCCTGTTTCTAATGAAAATTTTACTAGAAACCAACCATCACAAACTCTAAATATGTTTAAATATGGTTAAAACATATGTTTTTTGTCTTCATGGTAATAAGTTCAACTTAGAAAGTAAGTTCCTTACATGTTAGTATGTGGCAAAGGCAAGGAACACACTTTAGGCTTTTTAGGGGGGTAAGTCAGAAACCACCAAATCAGACTATAAGGAAAAACACTGAATATTTAAGAACTCTGGGTAGTTGCTCAATATAGACTTACATAATATCTATAATATTCTACATGTATTAGATGAATTTTTAAAACTGTGACAGCTTATGAAAAACATAAGAGCTCAATATCCTTAAAAAAGCTGAGAATTATTGATTTTGAGTCCATTTTTCTAAGTTTGTTGTCAGAAAAATATTGATTGCTTTAAAAGTTTAATTTGTTTTCCTCTTACACATGTTTTCCTTTTTCATAAGTAGTAGTAGAATGTATGAATACCTGTTGGGATCTGGGCTCTTGTTCTGAGAACGTGCTTAGAGACAAACATTAGGAAGAGTAAATAAGATTTTTGGCCCTTCTGATTCCCAAATTAAGGGAAAATCTACTTTCCGCTGGAGATAGAAATGCTATCTTTTATCTAGAGTGCTTACTTGCATTTGAGCTTGCAATTAGTTACTATAAATAGACTGATCGTTTTGTATCATGGAATTTTTTTTTTTAAGGTTTTAATAACATTGTACTGGCTGGGAAGAAAAGCACAAAGTAACCCCTACTATAATGGTCCATATCTTAATTTGAAAGCATTTGAGAATCTTTTAGGACAAGCTCTGACTAAGGTAAGGAAACTACATCTGAATGAGATGACTACGATAACTGATACTACTTTCCCCTCTTCCTCCCCTCCCCCTTCTCTGTTTTCTTTTCCCTTCTCTTCATTCTTCTCCAGCAAATATGGAAGCTCTGACCGTCTTTGCTCTGGCCTAGATTGACCTGGGTATGGAGGATTGTTATTTCTCTACTGGCTCTGTATGCTGCCACGAGGGAGGGAGTGAGTCTATTTCAGAGCAGCTTCCAGGGTGTAGCATATAGGGACAGGTATTTATCTCTTACTTCTAGGTAATTCGATGGCATACTTACTCCTTTCTTTCCTTGGACACTTTGCATAACTTAACTCTTTCTATATTTATTATGAACTCAACCTATAGTAGAAAGGTCCTCAAGGGCTATTAAAGCGCACGGAAGCCACTCAATCTCTTTACCCTAATTTCTTTTTGTCGTGGATGATTATCTCCAATGCCTACTCGCCAGCATCCCCACTGTTCTTCCACGCTGCTTCTGCTTCCCAAAGAGTAATGAATGCTGTTACATGACACATGATAAGGAATTTTTAAAAAAAAGTTAGAGTCCTTTGTTATAATCACATTTCTAGTCCTTCATATCCTGGAGTCAGTGTCGCAGCCTTTGAATGTTTAAGGATGGTTTGAGGAGAGTCGAATGCCAGATCTGACTGTAGTTCTGCCAGATCTTCATTTAGAAGATCCAAATGAGAACATTAACTTCTCTAAAGGGGTAATTATCCAGGAGAATATAAAGTGCTCAGAAGAAAATATGTAGTCAAAATAATATATCACCATCTAATGAATAGTAGTTGTTCCATGGGTTCTTATGCTGATCATATGATACTGTACCCATCAGGCATTTAGTATTGGTCCCGGGCATGTTGTAAGGATGTCATGTTAGTTACCATGATTGGAAGGTAGAAATTTTAGACCAGGATGGAAATGATCACCTTGGCTTACATCTACTCTGAGCTTGAAATAGTTTTGCCTGAGCCCAGGCACATACATTATAGAAAGATGGGATTGTATAGCCTAGAATGTTCAGGTATTCCTTTTTGATTTTTATTATTTTCAAATTGTAAAGAGTTGAGAGCACTCTATTCAGATTCCTTGAAACAGTTAATTTGGGTAATAATTGAGATATTACCATGCAGAGCCTTGTATCAGGTGTTGGGAAAACACTCACCCAAGGCAAGTGACCTATCCTCAGAGAGCACAATTGTCTGTTGGGGGCAGATGAGCAGATAGGCCCTGCAGTGCAGGAGCCATTAAGACTGACAGAGGAACCAGCGGGGGACTTTGGGCAGGATCAGAGCTTTGCCTTAGTTATTTCAGCTAAGAAAACATCCAGTTAAAAACAGTGTGGTACTTGGGCTCCTGTATTAGTGTTCGTTTAATTTATTTATTTAATTTTTTTTCACTTAGAGTTGACATTCAGTATTATTGTATATTAGTTTATAATATATACTAATTAGTGGTTAGACGTTTATATAATTTGTTCAGTGAGCCCCCCGATTAGTCGAGTACCCACCTGGCACATTAGTGTTCTTTTAACAGCCATTGGTCCATTTTGTGGCAACCTGACTCAGGCTGGACAATCCCGGCGCAGCGTTTGTGCCGGGACTGCTTAATTAAAGGCTGTTTCCTGTCACCGGTGTAGGTAAAACAAAACAAAACAAAAAAACAAAAGTAAAATTTAACACTTTATCGAGATAGTTAAAACTATACTGTGGTTCTATTTTGTTGTTATAAAGTGGCGATAGCCATAAGAAATATGTGCATATATGAGCTGTTTTGCATCTGTTCTTTTAAAATTAAAACCATTCTGTTATCAAATTTTCCCACTTAAGTAGATAATGCTTAATGGTGAATCCAAGATATCAGTTAAAAGATACTTGGTGTACACTGTTGCACCTGAGTCACCCTGTAAGCTGGAGGTGACTCAGTTTAGGTGACTTGTCAGAGTGAAGTCCTAAAGAACCAGGCACCAGGGCCAGACTCGTGCTCTTTTACAATTGTGGTGGCCTGTTATAAATAACTTGACCATAGATGAGGTTAAAAAAACATCTCGCCGTGTGTTGAGAACCCTGTCTTCAACAAGTACATGTCTAAGAAACCTGATGGATCAAAAGATTTACTTAAAATTTAACTCTTTATCTCTCTCTCTCTCTCT